AATGAATGTATGTTTCCTCTAGAAATTATTTTCCTTCTGCAAAACTTGCAGAAAAAGGAATCCTGACACAGTTAAGGCCAACTTGCATTTCTACAACAGGTAGGATATACCATAATTTACAAAGAAATATCTTCCACATTTCTCATCTGAAATACACATGAAATAGTTTTGTATCCACTGTTAACACTGGAAAAAGAACATTTACAATCTTCAGAGTTAACTCTGACAATAAGATGCTCAAGTGAATTCCTAAGTGAGTTAAACTGATTAACTGCACTTTTTTTCCCCCCAGGAAACAGTTTCATCTGGCACTATAACATCATTGAAGCTTAGATACAATGTCATATAAATTTGTAAGGAGTCCAACTTCAAAATTTTAGTATTTCTTCAGCTTTATTTTCGTATAAAAAGTAGCACACATGTAAATAAGTTAAAGTTATCTCTGACTAAGGAAAAATAGTTCTCTACATATTGACTCAAACGGCAGCATATGTTTCAAAATTTTTTTTTTCAACTACCAGCAAAGGAAATAAGTTTCAGGTTGTATCAGTGTCAGATGGGGGCAAAACACATTTCCAAACAGGAGGAAAAGCTTTTTCTTTTCATAGGAGCATCCTACTCTGCACATGAACAAATGAGGTTTAAGGAAAAATTAGCAACACAAGAAGTCCAGTACTATTCACAATTACCTCACACCAAATATTATCCTGCAATCTTTCAAGGTCCTTACCATACAATGGTCAGAGTTGGGACATCCTTCCTTGCCACTGATATTTTTAGACAAGACCAAATATAGACCAACTCAGGAGAGTGGACTCTCTGCATATACAAGGTTTAGACTTATCCCTATAATTGTATGAAGAATCAGTGGATTAGGTTTCAGCTACAGCCACTTTATTTGTAGAGAAGTAGATTAAAAGACAGCAGAGTTTTAGGAAGATGACAGCTGTGGAAAGATGAGCCATGAAACTATCCACAAAAAAGAATTAATTTGATTCCCTTTTTTTCTCCCATTTTTCAACCCTTTGAACTCTAGGTATTTCAACAGGCCATCAGAGACCTTTAATAGGATAGATACCTTGTATCCTAGGAAGCAGTGGGACATAGTCTCTGTATTTGCTATTTATTTGAAATATTGTGCTTTATGCCCCACAAATCTCAGAGGGACATCAGGAATTTACACTGCATGGTTAACAGCCACCTGGAGATAGAAATAACATATACATTGTGAATGGTTTTACTTTTCCATCCTAGTTTCTTGTGAGAGGAACTAAATTCTAGTTCTTTGTCAGATGTGTGCCTGAGAACTTTTGTTTAAAATGTAAAATGTCACTATCTTTGGCACATAACCTGCTTCTTAACAAGAAATAAAAAGGTCAAAGAGGTCCAGATATTCCACTCAGCACACAATTTATAGTGTCTTAATCTTCCTGGCTCCACCAAAGTTTATGTCTTTCCACCATTATGGTTTTCCTGTCTAAAAGCATGAAGAAATCATGTTTTAAGCTTAGGAATTATCCAGTCTCTTGGGTGATAATTAATCCCAAAGAGATGTCAATAACAACAAATATTCCAATGCTGTATCATAGAGAAACAACTGGGAAGAAACAAAAGGGAAGCAAGAACATAATGCTCCTAACATTACTTACTCTTTTCTACCATGCCAAGCCAGTTGGATCTTTCTCATGTTTTTCTTCACCTGTACACATTTTTGGAGACAGGACCTGTTATGCCTGTGGTACAGTAAGGCCATTATATATAAACTTTATCTTATTACCTCCTTTGCTCTGGAGTACATTGAGATCCTTGCATGTTGTGTGAGTTAAACACATTAGAATTGCACTTCCTCATCTTTGTACATGTATTTAAAGGACCAGTCCTGTTTATGCTTATTAACATTATCCAGCTTTGTTAATCATACTTTTTTTTGACCTTGTGGGGTCATGGTCAAGGGTAAACATTTGGCTTAAGTATTGTGAGGAATAAAGGCATAGCTGGTTGGAACATAACTAAGTAAAATTCCTTTATGAACTTATTTTCATTCAGTATATCATATCCTGACACAGAAAGTTGCACATTAACCAGACTCGTGACTACATGCTACTTTAATTGTTTTGATTTGGTGCTCTGCATAGCCAGAGGCTTTTTCTATGTATTAATAAACATTACATTAATTTTCCATTGTTCCTGGGCTTACGATATCACAGGTCAAACTGGAGCCTCATGAATCCCACTGGAAAACAAGACCAAACAAAAATGCCATATTGTGTCAGGAAGTGATGTCAGTTGCTGGAGTTTTGCTTCCAAACTTCTGTGTTTTACTTGACTTGTGAAGCTGTTTTCCTGTGCAAACCCATAGGCTTAATACTTGTGGGAATGACTGAGAACAAACATCTTGCAGTTTTACTGACTATCAATACATCATTCTCTGACACACTATTAACAATCTGTTGACCTACGTAAAAATTGGAGTTTCAGGAAAAAAAGTGTCCCATGTCTGCTTATCGATAAAATGCTCACGCTGCATAGATACATGAGTATATTGGATCGAGCTGCTGGTAGTTAACACATTCAAGATCCTACTTATTGTCAGTATCTGACCCAAAACCAATGATTCATGTTCCAAAGAAAATGCTGCTTTTATATTTTTCCACCAACCCAGTCTGTCACTACAGACCCAAGTTATTCCCCCAACTACTGCTCTACATCTGGGTGACATGAGAGATAATTGTGGGACGCTTACAGTCCTGATAAACTATGGTTTCCTTGCTCTGCAGCCCTTTGAAGTTGCAGACAGTTTCATGATAATTGATAATCTAATCTCTTCCCAGCCTGTTTTTTTTAAAGGCTGTTCTGAAAAAGCAAGAAGGGGAAATATTACAGCATAAGTATTGATTGCTGCATGCAGAGGTCACTGTGTGGGGATTGCACTTTTATCAAAAGGTTCTTGCGAAAGGTGAAGTTTTGGCAAGATCCTAATAATAACTATGGAGTGCTAGTTAAATTCAAGGGGCAGGGGGAGGAAAATTATTTTTTATTCTTAGTACCTCAAGGCTATACATGGCAATTACTATTGCAGAGGCAATAAAGAAGTTGTTAATTACAGGTTTTATACCCTTGTAGCCCAAAGTAAGAATGAAAGAACTAAAGGTTACAAGGGGTACAGATGAGAGAAAAGGATAGAAGAGTTGCTGGAAGTTTTGTGCTTTTTAGTGAAACAAGTTATGTAAGTTTTAGAGGGTTAGGACATGACAGAGTGGAAATTTCAATCTGATCAGGATAAAAACTTGAAATCTTACTTACCATTTGTTTTATTACCCTTCATATTTTTGCTGGGATTACATATTTACCTAAAACCTTCATACTGACTGCTGTCATACACTGAAGCAAAGTCGTTGCACCAGAACAATGTAAAAATATTAGATTTTTGCAGCTCTAAATATGTTTCAGAGAGAGTTTAATGTCTGAAATTCTAAACAGTGGTTTTGTCAGGGACTTTCTCTGGAAATACAGGGGAATTGGTAAGTGGAACAGTTATACTTTACAAGCACAATACAAAAACATGGTAAATATCTGTGTATTTAACAGAGGCAAGTTTGAAAATAAGAAAAGTTTCCATTCCATTCCATTTGATGAGTTTATTCTTTGTGATGAGTGATATTCATGAGAATTTGTAGTACTGTAAAATATGTTAACCAGGGGCATGTAATTTTATGAATGCTGTCAGGGATAAATATATGCGCCTGCACACACACAAAACTCACACATACTTAATGAGAGCAAAATTAAAGTCTTCTGAAACAACTGATTGATTAAAACTCAACAGACCCACACAAATATGAACACTAATACACATGGCTCATAAAGCACTTTCACACCATATCTTTAAAAGGGCAATGCAAAAACTAATTTCTCACCAGACCAAACAGTTAACTGTGCCAGACAAAAAAATGGGATAACTGGTGAGTAAAAGGCATAACTGGCTCACACATTATTTCCTCTCTTCTTTCCAATTTTTTTCCCCTGACTGTACACCACTGCAAATTAGAGCCCTTTAACTTTGAGCCAGACCATATTTCCAGATTACTGGAAACAGCAACATAGTTTGACCTTATCCTTCCTCACCCTGCTGGCCTTTAAAGTATAGAACAGGGCTGTGGTAGAGCTGTCTACTTTGGTTTTGCACCTTCTGAGAATTCATCAATTGCATTACACTTGGCATGGTTGTTTGTAAAATTGGATCCAGGCAGTGATTTATTTGCAAAAAATCAATAGTGTTGAATTTGACAAGGAATAGGTCTTATAAGCCAGGTGGAATTTGATACAACTGGGAAATACTGTGATAGTCCAGCATTCTCCTTTTTAATTCCTCTTTCTGCTCTCTCTTTTCTTTGATCCTTTAGATGCGTGTCAGTGCCTTACTTGTAGGTATTTAGATAATACAGACATTATTGCTGCTCTTTCTACTCCACCATCACCCCTTCTGATCACCGTAATTGCCATCACTAATACTGATTTCCAGCAGGTGAAGTTTCTTCACTCGTTCTTCACCCTTCTATTATCTGTATCAGTTGTGCTCCTTCTTAAGTCTTCTGCAGGCTTCCTTAGAACACCAGGCATATGAGTTTCTGGAGACTCTTTTTCACAAGAAAATTGAAAGAAGAATTTGGTCTCTCCATATATAATGGCTCTCACCATATAATTTGGTGAGAACCATGATTCCATGGGAGCCATTGGACACCTGCAAATTCTGTCTGAGCATTGTGAAGGCACAGATCATTTGTTTGGATCATGTTCCACGAGTTAAAATCTCCTGGCTGTCTCTGACCCACTATGCATGTGTATCAAAGTTAGTCTGCAACAGAGCTGCAGATCTGAGATAGTCTGGAACTCTCAGATTCACTGCAAAACCTCTCTGTGGCTCACTTATCAGACCTTGGTCCAGGAAGTCCTCAATCCATCCATATGCATTCCTATCATTATTTTTTTTTTTTCTCTGATATCTCTGTTATGATATCACCTTTGTTTTCTTCTTCCTCCTCTTACCCTCTGTGCTTCCATATGATTTCTCATCTTCATTCTCTCAGCTTTATGTATTTGGTAATCATTCCTCTCCCAGAGTGATGTGAGAAGACTCCTCAGTGTATTAGGCCACCCATACCTTATTCAGAAGAGAATAAAAAGCAGAAAAAAGAAATTAAAATAGCTCAAGAAATCCACTTAGCTTAGCCATGTAAAGTCAGTTTGTTTGGATTTTGACACCAACATCCTCTTTTTGTATTAGCTTGAACATAATTTTTTTTCTTCCACTACTTCTCTTTCTAAGTTTCCCTTGTCTCTCTGTCTGGATTCTTGACTCTACACCTTTCCTTCTCCTGCTCTACTCTCTCATTACTTTTTTCCTATTCTGTAAAAGATCATAGATGTAATTTGAATTATCTGAGGACAGCAAGGGCAAATAAATATATGCTGGCTGATTGACTCTGGTCAGCCAGTCTGAAGAAAACACATGGCTTCTCTGCCTTTTATCTCAGAGATGGGAATTGCTATGGAAAATTGTTAGCTACTACTGTGGCCTGTGACAGAATCAGGTAAGGAAGTATGTAGTAGCTTTATATAGATAAAAGCTTTCAGCTAATTTCAGCTTAATTTTCTGGCTAGAACTCTTCCATTTTTCTAGGAATTTTATAAAGCAGTAATTTTAGCACACAGCTTTCCCCATGACCAAACTCTCATGTTTACATGTTTTTAATATGACATCTTTTAGAAGATGATGCATGGGGAGGTGTGGTGTGGGAAGAAACTGCTGCACTTTGGTTAAACCACCAAGCATACACTTAATATAGGACAGAAGGGGGACACATTTTTTCCCTCAACCTTGAAAGAACTTCTTTATATGTTTATGGTTCTAAAGGTTTTCTTCTTAATTTAATATATTGTTTGATCCTAGTTTCTTGGCCTGATTTAATGTCCTTTATTTTCAGAATTAAACTTTCTATCCTGGTTTCTTTGATTTCCCTAGCAGTGTTTTCATGTGTTTGTAATATCCTTTCTATTGGATGTTGTTTCTTCTGTGTCATCTACTCTGTCTGTGATAGACCTTTCTCTGGTGTAAATTTAGGTCAATATATGAGTGGTGAGGAAAAGCACTTTTCTGTTTTTCTCTGATTCTGGAGAGCTTTTGTATAGTTTTCTTCAGGGTGCTCTTTTTTAATATCTTCACTGGGAGTGTGTAAGACTCTGCCTAGCAGACTATGACTCCAGTATCACTTCCACATGTTACTTATGAGAGGCTTGCTCTGTGTCTTTTCTGTATAGTTGCACTGGAGATAATTTGGGCACAGAAAGACTTTACATGCTAAGATGAAAGTGATATGTGGCCATGGAGGTTTTTGTTGTTATGGATGAGGATGGTTCTTTCCTGGGAAATCCCATTTATGTTCTTCTAATACTACAGTGGGGACAGATATATTAGGATGGCCACAAGAAAACTTTTCCTTTATTTTGAAAGCAGAAAAGTAAGATCTACAAAGACGTTTAAATTAAGAATAATAAAGAATTTTCCAATCAAGAGCTGATTCATAGCTCATAAAAAAATGTGGCTTTTTTTACAAATTAAGAACACTTGAGACTTTGTGTGTTTTTCTTCTGTGGACATCATGGGCCATCTAGTCACAATATACTCATGGTAATCCTTCCTGCATTATTCAATAAAGAGATATAGCTGGGAAGAAAACTGCATTTCACTCATGTATTTTTATTGTTTCATGTAGCAACAGGATAAGGTTCTACCTCTTTTGCAAGCATTCACATCCTGATCTCTAACAAGACACTTGAATATCTGTGGATTGTGTGAAATACACAGAGAAACTGCTGCTTTCAGAGCTACTTCCCTACAGCAGAGGAAGCAGACAATGCTCTGTGGGGAATAAACTCTGTTTTGCTGTCCTAAACTATTACTCTTATACTAAATTCCTTTTAGTTTATCCTACATCTAAATAGGTAGGTAGAATTGATGTCATTTAATATCCAGAATATTCATAGGAATGACCTACATGTAGAGGACACAGACTGTAAACAAAATTGCATTTTGTTCGTTAGCTACAGTACAAATCAATTCTGGGTAACAGAGACATTCTAATAAGACTTTTTTTTGTACCTTTATGATCAAGGTGAACCTTAAAATAGTTGTGTAATATACACATATAATAATAAATTATTAACCATACAGAGGTAAACTGGATCCATTCAGCACCATTCAGCTGCTACTTATAAAAAAATGCTCTGAGAATTATGAATAGGTCACATGTTTAAAATTGGGTTTCTATACTATAGTGTAGAGGACATAGATCTACTTATAGATCCTTCCCTGAGGTTATTCCTAGATACACTGTGTGTAACCTGCACAAAGGCTAGTCACTTGTGTTATGTAGGCGTGGAAACATGAATTTCCAAGAGGATTACACCAGAGGCTTCTGTAATTCATTTTCCTTTCTGACAATGACTGGCATGTATTCACAAGTGCATGATAAATGTGATAAATTTGTAATCTAGGTTCCAAGTCAATCAATTAGTTACATGAAAACTACTAATCTTGGACTATTCTCTGGATATATTTCTACCAGCTCTGTAAGCACTAACAATGTGTTAAATTATGGAGTTGTGGTGATTGCTACAAAAAATATGCAGTCTATAGTCTGAGACAGGTCAGACAAAAATGCATCTAGACATTAGTGATGTAGAATCCCTAGACAGATCAATGAGACTATCTAATGCTGATGTAAGTTAAAGGAGGCAGCCTAGCAGAAAAGGTAAAATTTCAGGGCTGACATAAAGGAAGAAAGCTTCAGGAAACTGACAGAGAAAGGGGACAATACACATCTGGATAAGAGAATCAAGATGTGATGGGTCAAAACGTGTTGGTAAGGGGTGTTCTTAGAGGAAAATGGTACATTTTACAATAGAATTTGAACTGTGTATGTAAGAGGTTTTGAAATAAAAGGCCCACATAGACATAAAAAAATTGCAGTGCAGGAAGTGTTCCCTTTCCAAAAAAGAAAAATAAAATGAGAAAACAAAACAAAAAACAACCCCAAATCCTGGAAATACTGGATACCCCAGAATCCAACATAGCAGCTGTTATAGAATACAGATAAATTACAGGCAATCAAGAGCAGTAAGGTAGAGTGAGTGCTGCTTATGTCGACCTGTTTTTCACTAGCTGCATTTATTCAGAATTCTAACAAATTAATAGTGGAAGAGAGGTAGCTTCAGATGGCTATAGAAACTTCTTGGCCACAGTTTGAGTCCAGTCTGGGTTTTCTGAGGCACACAAGAAAAAGCAGATGCTGCTGGCTTTGCATAATGCAGCTGTGCAGTTTTCATTGTCTGCCCCTGTGTGAACAATCCCACCCCAGATGAACCCCAATACTTAAACTCTCCTTTTGCTGCATCTGCTGTACCTGCAGTCTGGCTGTCTTCACTTTGCAGTAACTCACACCACTGACAATTTTTAATTGGAAGTGAAATCTACCACAGACATTAAATAATTTGCAAACAGTTGCTTGTAATCACAGTTTAGTGAAAGAGAACCAAACCAATAGAGGGTACACTATGGAATAGCCCAAAAAGGAAGCATTGCTTGTGGGATGTCAACTCATCTTTATCTGTCAGCAGTGAAAACACAAGAAGGCTTGCCCTTTTGAAAAGTAAACAGAAAATTATGCCTCCAACACAAACCCAAGCCATTAAAAAGGCAGCTTTTATTCCTTCTCATAATGTTCAGGAACATAAGGCAGTAGCACTGATGTGGCTCCACAGCTGTTGCCAAGGGAGAGTAGGAATGTAGCCTGCCACATCTGGGATGACATCTTTGAAGAGGCACTTAATCTGCAGTGCTGAGGTATGCTAAGCCTCTTTGCTTTTCTTTGCCAGTTCTCAAGCTAATACTACTCCTGGAGAGCAATGCTGATTTCAAGTCAATGAGTGAGATGAAAGAACAATTAAGGACAGTGATGCTTTATGCATCGTGGAAAACATAAAGACAGGACAATAGCATAATTCCTTGATCACTCCAGCAGAAGATTTACTTTGCCACACTTTAAAGTTGTGAGTTCCCAGTTTCTAAAACAAAAATGACAGGAATTTTTAATCACTGAGTGTATGTTTTGTGAATTGAAGGGGGGCATTGAAAGACTGGAAAATAAAAGGTATCTACTGCTATTACATTGATGTGTTTCTATCTGATCAAAGCATTTTCTTCTCTGTAGCTCTTCAGAAACAATTTACCAGTATTGCTAGGCAGGCATTACACAAAGACATCAGGTGAAGAAAAAAAACACAAGAAAAGCTCTAATAAGTAAAAATGCCTTTATGTCACTATTCCCATTTTCTATTAATTGAAAAACTCAGAATCCAGACCTTTTAGGTTTCTGCTAAAAAGAAAAAAAAAGGAAAAAATGCAAGAAGGGAGATGAGAGAGAAAGAAAACACAGAAATTCTGATCTCAAATATCTAGTCTAAACTTTTGTCTAGTTTGTGGGTGAGGTAACATTTATTCCAAAGACAGAATAAGAGGCTGAGCCTGGGTTGTCAGGCATTTGAATCTTCATGTTGCTGTGCTATGTTAAAGTCTGGCTGGTTCCTTTGAGTTAAATGATGAAGTATGGAATTAGGATATCACTAGTTGGTGCAGAGACCTGCAATTAAATTAAATGTTCTTTTAGTATTTAAAATAATAATTTTATTTCATATTGAATGGTGAAATTACTTTAATTTCTATTTTTGAAGATATGCCTGTTTGTACATTCATATAAACACATAAATCTACTTGCACACAGACACACATAGTTTAGATTTCTTTTACCAGGATAAAAAATTGACCTTCTCATTTATGTGAAGTACTAAAAGAATGCATTGTTTGCAAGTACTGTTTGGAGAACTATCACTTTGGGCCAGAACTCAAGGGGATGTTCAGTGATAGACCAAAATTCATGTCTCAGCCTCCTCTTTCTATTGACAAACATAGGAAAGCAACAAAAAGCCTGCTACTGTTCACAGCACTCAGAAATTACTCTGTTTAAAGCAGACATTTCAGACAAGAATTTTCTGAAATTTCTAAGACATGTACCTGATTTGGAAAGGAAAATAACCTCATAAAATCAGAGCAGTGAACCATTTTTTCATTTATGAAAAAATGTCATTGAAAATGTGTAGCACAAGTCAGGGCCTATGATGATATCTCCAGAGAATTTTTTAACTTGCGGCCATCCAGTCAGTTTCATTGGAAAAAGTAATTTGGGTAGCAGTCTCCTGTTTCCCTTCTCTCTCTGATGGGCTGTGTGACTGTGGACAGGTCATTCAGGGTTTGATCCAAAACCCATTAATGTCAAGAGAAAGACTCCTGTTGACTTCAGTGATCTTTAGATTGGAATCTGTGTTTCTGCTTCTTGCCTGGATGCTACTAACTTCCATTGTGTGTGTTTAAAAGCTAGAGTCTTTCTGTGCTTCAGTATTTTCATATCTAAAAGGTCTGTGGTGGGGCAGCCTATGTAATACAATCTATGTTAACATTTAAATACATAATCTTATTCAGAAACATCTTCCTAGGTTTAATAGACCAAATCAGACAATTTTTCTGTTGTTATGGTAGAATTTGTGTGTTTAAATTGTTGCTCTGTGGCTGAGGGGTGGTGCAGGAGAATATCAAAGGGGAGCATGGCACAGAAATCTTGTCAATATGTCAAGTTGTTGGGATGTGCAACAGGTTGGTTGGACTGGGGCTCATTTTCCACTTCTGAATAGACCTTTTGTGTTTTTTTGTTTGTTATTTATTTAGTTTTGGGGTTGTTTTTTGTATGGTTTTCTATTTCTAAATCAGGATGGAATTCACGACAGCAATTTATCTTCTGTTTCACAATCTTTAGGAATTTTTTACTTTTTTGTGTGTGTGTGTGTTTTAGCATTCTTTAATGTTCCAAATCCATTCTCTAAGACTGTAGTGCCTTGCCCTTATGATGCCTTTTGAAGACAGTGGCCCTGATGGGAACCATGTGACTAAAACATACTAAGTCTTGACTCTTGTCTGCAAGTTTTATCACTGTAACATATGGCCAAGTCCAGGGCCATGTGATGCTGCTAGGAATTTGCTAATCATCTTCAACACATCATTTTTATACTATTAGCTCCTTATGTTCCCAACATATACATAAAAAGGAGAATTCTGCTTGCAGTGTTTTCTCATGAAAGAGCAAGAAGGAACTACATCAGTTGTGTCACCTCAGATGCTTACCTCAGTTAGCCAGGGTGTGGCAACTGTGCTATTCAGCTTGGGGTAATTGTCAAAATTGCTGAAGGTGCACTCAATTCCTTTGTCTTTAGCATTAATAAAGATATTAAATAACACTGGTCCCTATACGGACCCCTGAGGGACATCATGTGTCACTGATATTCATTAGGATAGTCACTCTGAGCCAGTGACTACAACTCTCTGGCTGTGACCATCCAGCTGCTTTTCATCACTCTTTGATGACTGTCTGAATCACAAACATTTTGGTTAGATGGATGTTATTCCTTTTCTTCTTCTTTCCTACCACTGGAGGCCTTCTTTTTGTCCCTGTAATGGGAAAGGTAAAAACAATCACATTATTTTCAATAAACAGTAGAACATTGGGTTTGTTGTTCTATTTTGATATTTAAGTGGACAGTTGAAAGAAGTAAAAAGACCTTAAAATGTCATGTATTAGATATGTAAAATAAGGTGGTGGGCGGGTGAAGGAAACAGCAGAGCAGGGATATTGAAATACTGGGTAAACATGCTTTAGAAAATGAAATAGCTTTTGGCTCTGAAAGAGCCACATCTGGATGCTGGTCCGAGATTTCCTGTGGTATCTGGCTACGTGTATGGAACACTGCCACTTGGAAAATTTATTTACAGGTGCTGTGTCTGTATGGACAAATTATTTTCTATAATTACCCATATTCTTTTAAAGAAAAGAACCCTAGGAGTGCCTCAGATGATAATGGACTAGGCCCATTGAGCCACAATGCATCATCTTCTTCCTTAGAAGCAGACATTGAAGTGAGGTGAGCTGAAGCTGCCCCAGCCACAGCAGGTAGCTCAGCACACTCACTTGGCTGAAGTATATATGCCTGAATGGATACCAGTTCCCTTCCCCCTTGAAAATACTACGGCATCCCACTGCTCTGTGTGTGCTAGCTTGCCCAGCTGTACCTTTTTATGCCTCTTATAGACAGACACAGAAAATGTTTAGTGCATTGTGGGCTAAACATTGGTTCTGCTTCCACACTATGCACATTTTCATTTACACACACACATATATATATATGTATACATATGCATGTAGATACTCAAAAAGCTTGCAACTGGAAGCCCAAGTGGATAAGGTGTTGGGCTGTAAGCAAACTGCAGAATTACACAAGAGAAAACAGAATAAAACCAAAACAGCCACCTTCAGAAAGATGTGGATTGTACTCAAGCCTAGTGGGTCAGAGTACTCCTCACTCCCTGTGTACCTCTTTCAAGGGATTTGGAGCACCTCTTCATTTTACGTTGCTATGGCTGAGATTAAAAAGATCAGAGCATCACCCTTTGGTTTAGATGCTCTCAGCCAGTGCCTGTGGGTTCCTTCACATGTGCACACTTGCACCTGTGCACACCACCCACTCTGTGATATTCAAACTCATGAGCCTTGTGTAATTGTTATAACCAACAAATACAGTAAAGCAAAAAAAGCAGTAATGCTGACTAAGCTAAACTACTACTTTATGCCTTTCCACAAAGTACACCCAGCCTGGAAATACTTTTGAAGTGTAAAGTGTAGAAACTAATCTCACTCTTAATAGCCACAGGATTTGTAAATAGCTTCTTAATAACATTTGCCATTCCTCTGCCTTCATCACAAGACAATTGCACAAGTCCAGTGTTTCTAAGTCCTTTCGGACGGCATCTACTACAGAACTTCCCTTTCAGTCTTCCAATTTTTCTTTCTCCTTCTGCAGCAGGTAACATAAATACTATATGCTTCACTGCTATACTTCATAGGGCAAGATATTTTTAGTGATCTGTATAAATATTTTGGTTTTTTCCTTGCCTAAGCCTCTAAAATGCCAGTGTATTAGACTGGAATCTCGAATTAATGCCTCTGAGATCCTGAAGCAATGCATCAAGGCAAGAAAATGGAAACCTACCTATGCAGACATATGAAGTCACCCTCTAATTATTCTAATTCCCACGTCTTAATATATTATTTCATGGTATCAGGGTGAACTAGAGCATTTGGAAATTACCTGACATTCAAGATCGTGAGTTCCCATCAATTCAAACCCCTTTAACCTGTGTGGAGTAAACATCTTCAACAATTGAAATGAGTAATAAAAAGAGACTTCTCTGCTCTACAGTTTGCAGTGTGCTATGGAAATATCCTAACAAACATTAAATGAGCTTGTTCAAAGGCCGTGAGCAGGAGAATTAGACAGATCTGTACAAGTTAAGGCAGTTTTGCAGGTTATCTTAGGCAGAAAAGTTTAGTGATCCAAGACAGTTCATTTAAAGATTTCTGGGCTATCTCTGTGTGCAACTGCAGGAGGCTGGGGAGAGTTTATTTCACACAGATGACTAAAGTAAGTGTACAGTTTAAGCTAAATTTTTACATCACTCTTATGGAAACAAATAAATACTCTGAAGAGATCACTTACCCAGTCTCTTTTAAATGTCTATATTTGGATGACATAAACCTCACCCTTTTGTCTCCCCTGAGTGTAGAGGGCTTATATTTCTAGCTCTGAAATAGATATCTACATCTTAAAGTCTAATGCAAAGGAGATAGATCCCCATCTCTACCTTTTTAGGCCTTGTTAATATACAAGGCACTGAGATCCTCGTGTTTCTGGGTGCACTGCAGAGGGAATGTGTAGAAATCCTGCACTGCATCATCACACCAGCCTAATATATGACCAAAGCCACTGCATATCAGAAAACAGCATTCAGTAATTAAGGACCTCAGTGTTTCAGATATTTATACAGCTAGTGACAGAACTATGTGAAGAACAAACTACTGACCACCCCGCCCCTTTTCCCCCTCCCACCATTTTAGACTGAATCCCCTAATTTGCTCAATGAAGAGGAAATGTTCACCACAAAACGGTGTTCAGATATATGAACAGTGGTTGAGCTCTGAGCTCAAAACTGCTACTAGCATTGGACCCTACTAGTGTTGCCCCATAGTAGTGTGTAGGTCTGAGAAACCATTCCACTTTGGATATCTATTTGGTAACTCTACCAAAACCACATGCAAAAGGAGTTGGCAATTTCTAAATGAAGTATTACAGTTCAAAACTGCAGAACTGTGTGTAAAAATTCTGTGTCCCGAGATTAAAAGTCTTTAATGCTTTGTTGGTGTAAACCTTGGTGTTCCTTCTGAAGCCCTGAAAAGAGCACTCATTAATCAAATAAAAATTGTCATTGTCCCATGATAAGGCTTAAAAAGCCAAACCTTTTTACAGATGTACAAAAGACCACTAACATTAGCAAGCAGGAAAGAAGGCTGCTATCTTCCCAACTCCTGGCTCAAATTTCAGTCAGTAATTAATAAGGCACTGGGAGTTATTTGCTTTTAACAAAAAGTAAATTCTGAATTGCAGGTTAACAAATCTTAAAAAGGGACAAAGGTCTAAACCAGACATAATTCAGGAAGAAGGAGTTGCCAAACAATAAAAACAAGAAAGATATTTTAATGTGAATCAATACTCAGAAATGAATGGAGATAGAAAAAGTTCAGATATGTTATACATGATGCTGATTACTCTCTCTATGGTTTCTACTATTGTGGTGTCTCACTCAGACAGTTTCAACCCCTTTGTAATCTTACAGATCTTGAATCCTTCAAATTCTATTAAATCCTACATCTTTGTTCAGCATTTTAATTTATAGTACTTGCACTAGGTGGCATAGAAGGGAGATGTCTGTCCTCATGTCTGTCAAAAAAGAAGTACTTCAGCCTTCAAACTGTATCATTAGCTTATCCACCATTTTGTGTGATGGTAACTGAGGACTTTTCAGCAATGGAACCAGTAACAGTGCAGAAGGAGAGGTGAATCTATGTGCAAGAAGTGAAACAGGCACACCTAGCCCACATTACACAAAAATCATAAAAGTACTTCAAAAAATGTTCCTAGTAAAACACTGGACATTTTTTACTGCAGCCCACTTTGCATTGGCAAGATTTAGACTTTTCAAAAAAAGTGCAAGGAGTTTTAAGGGCTTTAATTCCCTCTCTAATATCAGCCAATGAAAATAGAAAGTTTGCAATCATAGAAATTAGGAAGGGTTGAGATTTATTTGACTGCTGCACTACACTTTTCTCCTTATACCCAGAACAGTTCAATACAGAGGGTGTTCCTCTTGGTGTCATTTTGATTTTAGTTACTTATATTGGGAACTATTTCCCTGTCAGAGTTTCTTCAACACATGTTCCCACTGAAGCTGTGCAAACAAGTCTCAGAGCAGATGATGAATTTTGCAAGTTTAATTTTCTGATTGATCTGTCAGCTATTGCTATTTTGAGCAAAGAGACCTGAAAAAACTATTTTGATCACCAGGTCCCCATCTCCACATCTGCTCTCCTGTGCTCTGCTCTGGTTCCTCCTTCCTAGTGGTCCTTTTAAGGAATGAGCCTCCATTATCTGAGCAAGGAAAGTTGCAATGGGTATTTTGCAGGTCCTCCAACACCCATGGTTGAAACAGTGCTTTGCATGAAACCTGCAGTACAGTTGTAGCCTGATCTCTGTAAATCTCATCCTAATCTCTTATGTAAGGAGAAGGCAACTTCAAACATGAAGTTTAATTTTTATTTTAGAGCATATGTTATAAAAATTTAATTTCAGGGCTGGATAGACATGTATTGTGGCTTGACATTGGACAAATGCCAGGCACCCATGAAAGGTGCTCACTTTCCCTCCCCTGCCACAGCTAGGCAGAAGAGAGAAAATATAACGAAGACATCATGAGCTGAGCTAAGGACGTGAAAAAAACACTCCAAGTGAAAACAAGATTCAATTTAGAAATAAAAAGTGAGTTTATTACTAACAAAATCAGAGGAGTATGATAAGAAGTAAAAAAAGACCTTATAAAACATCTTTTCTTTCCTCAACCCCTACCTCTTTGCCACTGACAGCTCAGGGGACAGGGCATGGGGGTTTTGGTCAGTTTGTCACCTGAGGTTTTCTTCCACTGCACAGGGAAAGGAGTCCTTCCCCTGTGAGACCTTGGAGTCCCTCCTACAGTAGACAGCTCTCTGTGAACTTTTCCAGCATGCTTTCACTCTCAGAAACAGCAGCCCTGCCCTAAACTGCTGTGGCGTGGATCACTCTTCCAGGGGTGCAGTCCTCCAAGGACAGGCTGCTCCAGCCCGGAAGCAGGGGCCCCCTCTCTCCACTGGGTGTCCCACTGGATCATAGCCACCACCAGACATCCACCTGCTCCAGCCTGGGCACCTCCCCCATGGACTGCAGGTGGATCTCTGCATCCCCCGTGGATCCCCTTGGGCTGCAGGGGCACAGCTGCTTCACTATGGTCATCACCACGGCCTGCAGGGG